GCAAGAGGGAACAGATCCCTGAAGTCCACGGTGGGGTGTGCCCAGAGAAGGGTGAAACCAGGATACTTTCAGTATCAATCACCATCCTCCTCTGTTTCCTTGAAAAATAAAACTGACAGAAAAAAATATAAAGAAAAGGGTGGAGTCGGCACAGGGAAAGTTTTTTGACAATGCAACCTGAATGTATTTTGTAATCTCAGGCTGAACAAACTTGGACTCAGGTTGTTTGATACCTAATCAGAAAAGGTGACAAATGTGTCATCTGTGATCCAGCTGCCTCAGGATTTTTTCAAGTATGTAAATATTTTATAGGGTTTTTTAACTTAAATAAAATTGTCATTTCTGATGGCCACTACAGCTCTGCAGACTTTCAGTCTCCACCTGAAAATTTTTTGTGCAAGTACTCATGGCATTCTTCTAATTCACCATGGCTTCTGATGCAGCTGCCAGCAGTAGAGGCACTCTAGTCCTGTCCCTGTGCCTTGAATAATCAAATTTCCTGTAAGTAAAACCACCTTTTCTTCTGGTGCCTGCACTAAAATGGGGAGAGTGGAAGCACAGAAGTAGTCTACACATTGTTTTTGAAAACTGTACCATTTATTAAAGTGCAACCTGGGGGCATGGTCTTACAGCAGTGTCCCATTAGCAGAGGGAAAAATGTACATACCCCTTCACTTGAACTGAATATTGAACAATGAGGCTGGAAAGAACTTTCTTGTCAAGGTGGAAACACTTTTATTAACCAAATGGCACAAGAAGCTTTCGACAGTTTTCCCCCGAGGGCTGCACTTGCACGTTGGAATGAACAGCAGTGTGACGAGTTCCTGGGATAATGGGTGACCTGAGGACCAGTCAGGGTCTCTTCCCCCAGGCAGGCCTCTTGAGAACAGAATCCAAAATCCCTGCAAGTCTGTCACTATTTGCTTGCACCCAGCAGAAGAGATCCCCTAACCTGCAGCTTCAGAGTCAGTCCCATTAGTCTTTACTACTTAACAAACCAAGTGGCATTCTTTTGGTCTGAGTGGGTTTTTAGGTTTACAGTTGAATAAAAGCTTATCCTGCAAGTTAAAACTGAGGGCAAAGCCCCTAAAGGTACAGCAGTAAGATGCATCCTCTGCAGTTTGTTGTGTCCACATTGATGATGTCCCTTGCCTGCCCTGCAGATACTGCAGGGAGATCAAAAGCAGCTTCCACTGGAAGCCAACAGGAATTCCCCCACTTCTACAGCATCACCACAGACGACCTCTAGCTTGGAGGAAGCAAGTCAGCCTACCCAAGAGACTGAGAGAAGGTCAGCTCTAAGTAGAAAAAAAAAAGTTACAAAATTATTTAACTTAAGGAGGTGGAGCTGAGTGATGTGTTGTGGTTCCTCTGGACTTAACACTACTGACCCTTCCAAGCCAAGTCCTGGACAGGTACCTTCACTGTACCAGACACAAACTGAATTCTGTTGCCTAGACCTGCTCCCTCTGGGCCTGAGAGCTCTACCTGAGTCAAGCAGTGCTAGCTTAAATTTTATAAACCCCCCCCCCCCTTTTTTGTTTTGTTATGGCAATACACAGCTTGCGCTCTTAAGCACAGGTACATCCATTAAGTGAAAGTAATACTGTTCTTGTACCCTTCCTGATGCTGAAATTAAGCAGTCCAAGGCACAGCTTTTGCCCTCATTAGGTAGAGCAGATATTGTGCCTCACACCCCTCCATGTTTCACAGAATCACCTGGTTTGGAAAAGACCTTTGAGATTGACTCCAGTCCATGACCAAACACCACCTTGCCAACCAGACCATGGCACTGAGTGCCACATCCAGTCTTTTCAATCAGTCACCTCCAGGGACAGTGACTCCACCAGCTCCCTGCAGCCCATTCCAATGTCCAATCACCCTTTCTGTGAAGAACTTCCCAATGTCCAAGCTAAACCTCCCCTGGCACTGCCTAAGGCTGTGCCATCCTGTCCTGCTGCTGCTGCCTTGGAGAAGAGCCTGACCCCTCCTGGCTCCTCCCTCCTGTCAGGTACTTGTGAGTGACCAGGTCTGCCCTGAGCCTCCTCCTCTCCAGGCTGAGCTCTCCCAGCTCCCTCAGCTGCTCCTTGCAGGATTTGTGTTCCAGACCCCTCACCAGCCTTGCTGCCTTCTCTGGACTCACTCCAGCCCCTCAGCATCGCTCCTGAGCTGAGGGGCCAGGACTGGGCACAGCCCTGGAGCTGTGCCCTCACCAGTGCTGAGGACAGGGGCAGAATCCCTGCCCTGCTCCTGCCCACACCATTCCCGAGCCAGGCCAGAAGCCATCACTGGCCTTCTTGGGCACCTGGGCACTCTGCTGGCTCATGTTCAGCTGCTGTCAGTCACAACCCAGGTCCCTTCCTGCCTGGCCACTGTCCAGCCACTCTGTCCCCAGCCTGCAGCACTGCAGGGGTTGTGCCCAAAGTGCAGGACCTGGCACTTGGTTTTGTTGAACCTCCCAACACTGAACTCAGCTTATGGATCCAGCCTGTGCAGGGCCCTCCCAGAGCTCTCCTCCCCTCCAGCAAACAAACACTTGCACCCAACTTGGTGTCCTCTGCAAATCTGCTGATGTTAAACTCAATGTCTTCATCCAGATCATCAATAAAGATACTAACCAGGAATTTTTCACTGGGAAACATTTTCTCCCCTTGAGCTCCAACAAGAGCAGACACAGAGCACAGAATATGACATTCTACTAAACCCTGGGCTTTCTGCTGCCTGTAGGCATCACAGCTGGGCCAGCCACGTGCACCTCTCCACCCAGTCCCCCATTTCACAAGAAAAGGTTCTAGTAATTACACTCTGTAACTAACAGGAACTTGCTCTGGCTTAGTGACTGCAGAGCCAGAAGCATTTCTAGTTTTTCCCAGAACAGCAATATCTACTTTACTAGGGCTTTGCCAGTACTGCCATAACCCTGTAACTGACATTTAATATAGGGAAGGTTTATAACCTCATATTATTTCATCTTCTACAATCATTAAAATGAAAGAAGACCAAACTTTAGCAGCTTTCTTGTTAAGTACTAATTAAACTTTTCATTTGTGACCACTAGAAAGCATTGATTAGTTTAAAAATCCAGTCCAACGTTTTAGCCTAGCTGTGATCAGGGGTAAGAAAGGAAATGGGATTCTGGCAGCAAAACTTGTCTGGTACAAGAGCACTCAGCACTGCAGCTTCCACCTGGCACTTGAGCTGGAGCTGCCTGAGCACAGCCAGAGTGAAAACGAAGCCCTCACAAACAGCAAGGATGGATTCCTGCAGTGCTGACTTGCCCCACAGCTCAGGGGCCTCAGGAGCCCACCAGGCTCCACCCAGCACACAGGAGCTGCAGCTGGCTGGGACAGGGCCCTCATCTGCACTTTGGGCTTTTGGGCAACACAACAATTCTGCCTTTGCTCTCAGCCTCTTGTTCCTGCAGTGCCAGCTGAAGAAAGTCCTTGCCCAGCTCCCACAATGCCCAGCTAAGCAGAGCTTAGAATTAAGCACAGCTGAATTAAGTTGCACCTTACCTTGAAAGCCTTTCCCTTGACAGCTCCTTATTGAGCATGCTGCCCACTGCAGTTCCCTAAGTATTTCCCACTTTTTTCACAGATCCAGCCCTCTGCTGTTTTAGCATCTCAGCTTTAGGGTATGCTAAGGATAAATTGAAGACAGAATGGGTCTAAGGTAGATATTTTGTTAAAGTACAGGCCACTAGAGGAGAGATATTGAGGCACTTCTGAGAAGGGGATGAGCAACACAAGTGGAAGTAATTCTATATGCCCTTTTGCAAGTGTATAGCTCCTGCCTCCCCTCTGCCAGCTAGGAGAGATCCACTAAGGAGAGGCTGCATCACACCTTCCAGGGTAACTGGAGCCTACAGTTTAAGGTTACTGTAATATACTTGAAGATGGGGGAAGAAAACTTCCATTTTCTAATTCTCACCTCTTAACAGAGCAGCCTCTCAGGTCTGTAGGAACACTGCCATCTGAGCTTACCCCCCTTTGGTGCCTTCCACAAGGCCTGGCCCAGCTCTGACCACAGGACTCCAAACTCTGCAGAATTCTACCCCACAGCTGACCTTTTTAACTAGTGGAGTACTCCCAGAGGAAACAGACTCATACAATAAATTTTTTGAACATGTGGTCAGTTCAAATTCTCACTGATTTGCCAAATCTAAAAGGCCCCAGAAGGAAAAGAACATTATAAACAAAGGACCAAGTAAGCAAAACACAGTGCAACTGATGCTCCATGAAATGCAGCAACACGCAGATACTCAAGACTTCTGCCTGACCACAGAAATGCCTGACACAGTAATTTCTTTTCCTTACCACTGCTGCCACCTTCTCACTGCTGTGCGTGGATGCTTTTTATTTCATGCCCCACTGGCTCCTTGTGGCAGAAAGTTTTTAACTTCTTCCCTTGCCAGCTTGGATTTATTCTTGTTTGTCCTCTACTCATCTCCACACTACTACTGAAACAAGCCCATCCACAGGGAAGATGAAGTAACAGCAGCTCCACCCTCCCCTATTGGTACACAAATTATCCAGAGTGTCCTCAGACTCCATCTCTGCCTCAGAGTAACCTGCTGGGTGCCTAGAGGTGGGGCTGTGCCAAAAGCAGCTTCATTGCCTTCAGGAAGGAAGGGATGTGGGTTAAGAACAGTTTGTGCCCAGAGAGGAACCCAAAGCCTTCAGCAAAGCACAGAGAGGGGCAGCCCTGCCCCAACCTGACCAAGCAATAATCCACCCTTGCCACCTCAGAGACTGTGCCAATCCCTGATAAACACAACATGTGAAATGAAGCAAAGCTGTTCCTGCATGTCTGTGACAGATGGAGATGAAGAGACCTCTCCTCCACGTAGGGAAGCCCCTGCAAGGGGCCAGGAGGGGAACTGCCCTGGTGGGGAGGCAGACACCAGAGAGCCCCTGTGGCATGAGGAGGTCCCAATGACCCCTTCTGGGACACAGCACGGCACCAGAAAATGGCAAAAAAAAGTCAATTCCATTTTGAAATGTGATAAAAGATTTGGGGTTCTTTTTTTTGATAAGGCCAACTTGCTATGTTTTATACATGGAAGAAGAGCAATCAATGATCAACAGTACAGTCCAGAACTCCAGAGCTCCAAGTTCAGTCCACAGCTGCAGTATACACACAACCCTTCCTCTTAATAGTCAACTTCACACACACACAGTTCAAAACCCAGTAAGTTTTCTAGAAAATCCATTTCACAAAAGCTTACACAAAAATAATTCCTCAGAATCTGATACATTCTGACTAACTTTCCAGCATCCTGGGATAGGAAAATGCAGCAAGAATATCCTAAGATAGAGAATATGCTAAGATCTCGTCATTCTGAGATCCCTTAAGAAACAGGCTCATCAGGATATGGTTATTTAGAAGTACCTTGTCTTTGTGCTTTGCAAAGACTTCCCCATAAGCTCATGTTTTGTTTTTTACATTATCACAAGTTCCCTTTCACCTTCCTCCATCTGGTCTAAGCCACAGTGCCAGCACCAACCCTCAGATCCATCAGTTCTGCCTGGGAAGCCCAAGGTGTTGCCCACGGAGCTGCAGCTGGACAAGGACAGACACACAATGTGCTGAAGGAGGAACACTTGCAGCTGGATCCCACTAAGGAGCAGGGCAATACCTGAAAGGCTTCTCTCCACACACACCTCAAGTGTTGTGACTGCAGAAAGGGGGATTTCCTTTTTTTGCCAAAGTTAATTGCTCATGATTGGTGAACCTGTAAGTTGAGGTAATTACAGATTCGCAGTCGCAGAAGTTGCACTGAACAGCACTCCGGGCCAGGTCAGGAACAAGCAGATAGAGATGTTTAATGCTCTTTTGCTCAGTTATTAGAATCCATTGCTTTATATATCTGGGATGCTGTCACAGGCAAGACCAAGTTAGGGCTAAATACACTCTGTGCTTAACTTGGGAAAGACAATGCAGACTGCAGCGTGACACAGGATAGCAGAGCATTTAATATCTGAATTGCACTTGAGGCACTGGCCTTGCTTCCACATGGGTTTGCTGTATTTTTGCTGAATATACCCCAGATATCAGAGTCGTGATCCCAAGGGCACCGTGTCCAGCATCAATTTCGTACCTCTGGTAACTGAAGGGTTTGCAGTAAAGTGGGCTGGGCAGGAGCAGAGCAAATGGATTCTCAAACCAGCAAACAGCAGTGTCCCTCCCACCCTCCTGGGCAGCACCTCTGCCCCAGCAACACCAGGATGCTCAGAGATAATACAACTAGAGAGAGGCAGCATCTTCACAGGATGGGGCTCCAGTAAACGTTAGGGGCCAAAACCAGTGTGAGCCAAGAGGTAAGAATAAGCACTGTCCCACTGGGGCTTAGGAGGAACCTGGAAGGTTATGAGGAGCAGTGCTGTACCTGAGAGGAAGCTGAGACAAAAGGGACACCAGCCTCTCGCTACAGGACTCAGGTTGCTAATGTTTGTTAGGAGGGGCTCGGGGGCACAACGGGAAGTGACAAGACAGCACAGCTGCAATAGCGGTCAATCTGAGAAGCCAAAATCTCCAGGGGCTGGCAGCAGCTGGCTCTCCCCTTCCCCTGGGGATTTTTTGTTCCAGTTCCTAGAGTATGAGCACCCCTTTCTTCAGCACCTGCACTTTAAGTTCTTAAATTTGCAGATTTTTTTTTGTTTTTTTTTTAAAAATACCCCCGTACTTTAATCACGAAAAACCAGTCCCCGCCCCGATTCTACTAAAAACATGATTGTCCGTAGCTGGAGGCTTATTGAACAACCTCACCTCATCACCACTGAGTTACTCAAATGTCCAATTAAACAGCAGGCAGCTCAACCTTTAGGTAACACAACTACAAAAATTGGATGTGCTCTCTTCTCTCCTCCCTCCTCCTGAGAGAGCTCTGTTACTTTTTCCTAAGTGCCAGCGCTACTCCGACTGCCACGGCCAATATAGCGACCGCGGCAGCCCCGCCGTACAGCAGTATCGATTTCCCTTCTGGCAACAGGATAGGCTTCTCCTCTGCAGCCGAGGACTTCTCTTCTATTTCTTCCAAATGGCCCTCTTTCCCTGCTTTTTTTTCCCCTGGAAGCACTATTTTCTCAGGTTCTGGTGCAGCCTTTTCTTCTGATGGGGCTAACTTTGGGACAGGTTTACTTAACACGGGGATTTCAGGTTCAACAAGCTCTTCAGCTGCTTTTCCCTTCTCCTCCTGTTTTGTACGCAGAAGTGCAGAGGGATGTGCTTTTTCAGCAGCAGCAATTTCAGGAGGTTTTATTTCCTGTAAAGAAGCAGAGGTTTCTGGAAAGGCTGCCTGTATGGTCTCTGCAGCACCAGCTGGCACCACTGCTTCCTCAATCCCCTCTGGTATCTCTTCCTTCTCCACGTGAACAATGTCAGAGTTGGAAGAGTTGTTCTCACTCCTCTCTTCAGCCCCTCCGTTGCTGTCCAGGCTTTTGACCTCTTCAGGATCCATGGCCACCTGCTGCCAGGACTCGGGTCCCAGGGACACTGGCAGGCTCTCCGTGTGCCAGCTCTGACTGGCTGACAGGGACACGGGCAGGCCCTCCGACTGCCACGACGTGGTCACCGTGGGCGACTCCGGGGGGCTCACCTGCCCTGAGTTGTCACTGGTCAGGATGTAGATGTCATTGCTGTCCTCTGCAATCAGCCCGGGATACTCTTCCTCTTCGGATTCCAAAGTGAAGACTGTTCCCTACGAACAAAAAGGAGGACACAACACGTGAGTGATTCCTTCAGCGTTCCCTCTGTACAGGACACCTGGAAACTTGGTGAGCTGGAAGAAAGATGAGAGGGCCTCTGCAGGAGCAGCAGCTGCCTGACCTACATTTCAGTAGGGATTACAGAACCCAGCTGCTCCAGCTGGCGTGTGCAGAGAATGGAACCCCTTACATGAGCTTTGCTGGGAGCTCCTCCTTTCCCTGACTTTATCACCATGACATCACCAAAACGCACCACATGGTCATTATTAAGCTGACAAGACACTACAGTCTGAAACCAAACTGCAACAGAACAAAGAAAAAGAAATCAAACAGAAGAAAACAATCCCAGCTGAATACCACTCACTCCCCACTCCTTTCTGTGCAAGTGCTCTCTATTGCTTGTCTGTTTTCACCTAACAGCGTTCCTCTTATATTAATTTTATCCCATTTCCAGTGCTATGTGAAGCCTGAATTTCTACTTTGTACCAACAAGCTGGTATCTACAATAATTCTAGTATTTTACTAAAATTTTAGCTATTCTTCAATGAGTTCACTTTCAAAAACTGCCATCATAACTTTGGCTACACAACTGAAGTTGAAACAAGCAACCAAGCACAGACACCCAGAGATGGTGACAGGGTCTGCTTGCTTTTATTTAGCTAGGAAAAATCTGTAGGCATCCTAAAAATTTGACAATGGGTTTCAGCTGGAGAAACTGGAAGTGTAGAATACTGATTCCCTGCAATCAGCCCAGTTCCTGTACTGGGCTCTATGTTTCATAGTCTAGAATATCCCTTCGGCCAGCTCAGGCCAGCTGCTCCCTCCCAGCCTCCTGTGCCTCTCCTCACTGGCACAGCATGAAACACTGAAAAGATTGTACACTCACTCCTTTGGCCAGCAGGTTTTGCCCTGCATGTTGTTAAGTAGGAAATACTTTCACTGAAATATAAGCCACTAACAGACACCTACAATCAAAGTAAATTTTTTATTTCCACAAGTGATACAGACTCAGAAAAACTGCAATTAAACAACAACAAAATAATTAGGGGTAAAACCTGCAGTCTCACAAACCTCTGTACTATCCTCCTCTCTGTTCAGCTCCTCACTCCCACAGATCAGGATGAATTCATCTCCTGTCCACACCACATCACAACACACTAGACCATGTCTGTGGTGTGACACTAGACCATGTCTGTGTGCAAGAAAGAACAGGGACACACACCACTGATAGCAGCTCTGCTCTTAACATTCCAGTGGAAGTGCACACATGCACTGACTCACTCAGCATGAGGCACATACAAAAATATTCCAAAACCACACTGTGCTGCTGAGGATTTGTGAGCTCTGGTGATTGTAGAAAAAATAACCACCAACAAGGGCTACACATGGCCTGAATTCCCCTGAAGTCACACAGTGTGCACTTGTAAAAGCCAAGAGGCTTTGAGCCATGACTCAGCAGCCCACGGAGGGGAGAATGGAGCCACCTGTAGTCGTGGGGACAGTGGGGACAGAGAGTGCCCTGAAATTACAACCATGCTGACACTTCTAAATACATACTCACACTGGAGATCTGCTTCTCACAAAATACAGGCAAGATACACATCCAGAGGGTAATATGGAGGATAAACTGCTTTGGAGAGGGTAAGGAAATGAAGGGATGGTTACACAAGGAACATGGGCCATCCTCCTAATTTCAAATACCTTGTTAGTAAGTGTAGCAACACTACACCACAGCCTGCCTTCAGCAGGAGGGCCAAAGGGACTCAAGAGTTTCATTGTTCCTTTTCTCATGCAAACTGTGCTGACCTCAAAAGAGTTATCAGCTGCTGGCTCCCTATAAATCAGAGCCTTATGCAGCCTGGCTGATTCCTTTCTGTCTTTACAGACAATTTACCTTCCGTGTCAGTGCCTCAGGGCCACAGCTCCCCAGCCTTGGACAGACACATCTCCCTGGCTGGGAGGGCTGGGGCAGAGCTGACACACTGGCAATTCCAGCACCTTTTCGTTAAAAGCTTATGAAGCTTTAATTGAAAATTTAGACAGTAATAGGCATTATTTAGGATCCATGATTAATATTTCTTGAGCTGAATTAAGATTTAATACATAAAGTCAAGCGGATAAAGCTGGGATTTTGTGCTGGTTCAGTTGAGGTTTGCACTTTGGTGGGGTTTTTTTTTCTTTTTAAAGCAGCTGTGATAAAAACTGAATTACATTTAGGACAATTCTCTTGATTCATCTACAGATGTGACCCAGAAGCAAATCTCCAACAGGCAGATTATTTCAGGACAGGATGGAACATGTGGAAGGATTTTTAATAACCTGAGGAGGCCTTATGTAAGCCCTACACTTTAGATTTAATAGTAAGTAAGGAATGTATGTAAGCATTTCTTTATCTGCTTTGTTTATTGTAAATAGACAGTTTACTGCTTCAAACCAGAAAGATCAGGGTTGCTCTTTCTCATATATGTGGTTGGAAGCTTGCAAACCTGGGAGTGGTTTAGAGAACCACATCAGGTGTGGTAGAGAAGCTGGAGTCCCTCCCTGCACTTCCTGCCACTCCTGATCCCAACCACTGCCACTTGAGGGAAGAGTTGGCACACCTTAGGAGACAGAGAACTGCACATTTCCCTGCTTGGCTAGAACACAGCAAGAAAGGCCACATCCCATGAGGCAGTCCTGGGGAAAGGATCAGCTACAGAAATCAATCACTGTGCTCAGCCTATGGGGTTTCACCCAGGAATGCTCCACAATGCCTCTACAAGTGACAGGAAGCACTGTTAACAAATGTGGCACACCTGCCCTCAGGAGAGGATGCAGCCAGTAGGGTGAGGCACACTGGACAGCAGCAACATGGTAACAAAATAATGAAAAAAAGGTCTGAAAGCTCCTACAATAATATAGTACACACAACTGTTGCTTAAAAACACCTGTAAACTTTCAATTACGACTTAAAGACAGCAAACATAACAAAATGTCCTTCAAAACACAGAAACTGACTCTTATGTTGTCTATATTATCTTTCATAGTTTTCCAGTATGTCTATTATTAAGTGTATACAAACAAACAGGCTCATTACCTATAGTATATATTTGCTAAACAGGAAAACCTTTAACTATACATAAGGAAAAAAAAAATCCTTATTTCACAAAACAATAATTTCAGCATAATTTATGCAAAGCTGCTGTTGGTGCCAAGAGATACTCAAATCAAAATTCTGAATGTCTCAAAGATAAAAGCAACTCTTTTCTCTACAAAAAATAGTAGGAGTAGTAACACACATTCTATCTATAACAGAGATGAGATGAGATTAGAACAGAAGAGATCCCCATTAAGGTGTCCAACAAAGCATTTGCTGCATCTTAGAGCAGACTAAGCCCTGTAAACTCCAAAGACCAGGAAAATGCAAAACACTGTGTCTAACTGCTGTTGAAGCTTCTTCTAGGGTTTGGTTTTAAGTGTTCTTAAAAGCTCAACTGGTCTCTCTGGTTCAGTTCCTAAAGTAGAAACAAGGATGGATACGGATAGGCAACTCACACAAAACTCATTTTTGAAGACACAAAAAACCCCACCTGAAAAATATGCAGCCCAGCAAGCCACCTGTACCCCCCAGACCCTGATTTTGTCCAACATAGGCAAAAATTCTGTACAGGTCAGAGAGAGCCACCAGAGGAAAAACCTTCATGTTCCCTGAGCTTCAGCCCCTCAACATAAAATAGACAGAGCCACATAAAATCCCTGAGAAAAAGAGTATCCTGAGGCTCAAGAGAAAATGCTTGCAGAACACAGTGTCCCAGGAGAGCAATCTTGGCTATGATAAAAATTTCAAACACTCAACTCAGCTAGGAAGTTTCTTAGGTGAGGGCACTGACTGTCTTGTAACTTAACCTATCCCAGAGAGAAATGAAATTCCAGAGGTGCTTGGACAGAGTTCTCATGCACACAGTGTGGCTCAGGGCTTGGACTCAGGGATCCTTGGGGGTCCCTTCCAACTCAGGACCCTCTGTGCCTCTGTGGCCACCTGCCCCACACCAACAGTGTCACAGCAACGAGCACTGGGAACCCATCAAATGCATTTGTGCTAAAATCCAGTCTGAAAAACAAGAGGCAAGAACTGGCCTGTGTCCAGGGATCCTAAGACATCTCCCACGGGGAAATAAGCAAACTTCCCACAACAACAAGCTGGGAATGTGCTCGCTGCATTATCTGTGGCTGTGGCAGAGGAGCAGCTGTGTGCTGGGGCAGGGGCACCTGTGCCCAGGAATGGCTTCACTCCCACCTGGGTGTGCCCAGGCTCCAGGTGCTCCTGTATCCATGCCCAGCCCAGTTATACCAAACCTTTCAGACCTTCGTGGAAGTCAGATTTGACAGCATCACCCAGCTAATAATTCAGAGAAATGGATTATAAAGCAGCTTCTGACAACACTCAGATACAAAACAAAACACTTTAAAATATAGAGAAGTCCCAAAAAGCCCTCAGGCATTTACTGTGCCTCTGCTCATCCCTCTGAAACTGTCAAGATAGGTGGAGCCAAGAAAAAGAGAGCAGAGTTCTTACAAATAGGATTGCACTTTTTATTAAGGAAAAAAAAAAAGAAAAGAAGGTCAAGTGAACCACATCAAAGCACTCTGATATTGCAGGCACTGCTCTCATTCCCTTCAAGGAATGCAGAAATGATCCTCTTCCATCCCTACCTTCCAACATAACCTCTACAACCTGCAGGAAGCCAGCATCAAAGCAACACCCTTTAGGTTTGAGTCTTATGGTTTAAAATGAGATAAATTCAGTTATTTATAGACCACTTCTTCAGATTTGAAGTTGTTGGAAGGGAAAAGAGAAAGGAGATCTAGTTGCTCCTTTACTATTTAATGTCCTTCTTCAGCCACAGTGCCTAAAAATTTAAAAAATCTATTACTGAACCAAAGAAGTCACATATAAATAAAAGGGGACAATTCGCTGCAGTATTCCATGACACAAACATAAAGCAAAATTATTTTGAAAGGAAAACTCCTTCCTAGGACTCCTCTAACTAGACTGCCTTTTCTTGCCTCTCTGCCACATTAAACTTACTTCTCCTCCTCCAGCAGAGCACGTCTCTCTATTTCTGCATTGTCATTCCCAGGGCAGACACCTGGACTGCTGCAGGAGATTTTCATCTTGGGAAGCACAAACTGACTACCTCACTTCCCTAGGATAACAATTGCCTCTTTACTCCCTTTCTCCTGCAGACTGTCAACACTCTCTAATATGTGTATTATTAAATCACCAGCAGCAAAGAAAACAACCAAGCCAGCTGCAAAGCCCAAGACAAAACACTGGAGACACAGAGAGAACAGCTCCTCTGAGGCTGAGATAGGAAACTGTAAACACTATGGAAATTTCAAGCAAATTTACTTTTACCCCTTCAGCATGGGCACTTAAGTAGTTAAATGCAAATCCAGGTCTGAACTCCATGAGACAAAATTCCTTGGGAAGGTAGAGACAATTTCTGCCACTGGTCACAATGTAACTCCCAGGCTGAGAAGAAAGGTTTGATTAAGTGCACTCTGATAAACAGCTTCAAACAAGGGGAAAGCAGAGGGGCTGGTAACAGGAATGGGAACCAGAGGAAAAAAAAAGGCAGCTGGTTTCCAAGAAAACTTACACTCTTTTCTCCTTATAGACATTCCCAGATATTTCTAAAAAGATGAAATCTAATCATGGAAAACAGGATCTGCAGAACTTGAGAAGTAATAAATTATTTGGGAAGGGGTGGGAAAGGAAGAGGGGGAAAAAATCCTTACCAACAGACTGGTCTTACTGTGCACTTTTCCAGGAGACCAACAATTGCTTCTGATGCAGCAGCATTCAGCCCGGGAGGAGTCAGGGAGAGCAAAGAGGCAGCGGAGGTAGGAGGAGAGAAGGGAGGGGAGAGGAGGAAAGGGGAGGGGAAAAGAGGAAAGGGGAGGGGAGAGCCTGCACACACTGCCTGTCGGTGTCTGTAGAGCCCTGACTGCTTTTGGGAAAGGAAAGAACAAAGCTACTTGTAAATCCTGCTGGGTATTGTTTTGCAATGGCTCAGGATAAAGGAAGGTCTGAGCAGGACCAGTGCACCCACTAGTCAGGAGGAAGAAATGTGTGTCCCACATATGTCTGTTTAAAGAACCTGCTGGAATGCCCAGCATGCTTTTTGCTCCAAATGAGGGATCTTGCTAAAACTTAAGAGTCAAACAGGTAAATGCAAGAGTTGCAGCCAAACCCACCAGAGCAATTAGTGAAAGAGGGAGCATAAAACTATGCCAGCCATTCCCTCACCAACCCACCAGTACATTCCAGTCCCACACTGTCATCAAAGTTAGCTAAATTACAATTTTAGTGCCTGAAGGGAGAATGGGAGGGGAACACTCATTGTTTCAATACACCATCTAAGCACCATATCTCTGTGGGACTAGCATGGAAAATAAAAAAGCAACTACTCATCCTCCAGGATATCAAATTTCTTGTTTCCCATAAGCCATGCCAATTTCTTGAAACCTGCTGCGTAGCTACCCAATTTGTAAACCTTTATTCCCTTGAGCTGGAAATTTTGCTTTTGGTTAGTTGTGTACCATCCTCAGTCAGATGCTTTCCTGGACCCAGAAGCCTCCTGAGCTCACAGGAGAGCCCCAAGCCTTGCACACATGCAGAGCCCTGGGAGCTCTTGCAGCTGCACTGTGGCTGCAGAGGATGATGCAGCAAACGGATGACACAGCTCTGTGGGATTCTGACTGCACAGATCTGCACTGAGGCACAGGAAGGGCTCAGCTGACCCCTCACCTTTGACTGGCTACTCCCCTCCTGGCAAAGGCTGACTTCAATCCAAAAACTGAGGAAAATCCCAAATGGTGCCAAGGGATGAGGCAGCACCAGAGACACTACAGAGCTTTTCAGGTCTGCCCTGAAGAGCTGACTCCTTTAAAGCTCTCCTCTGCTCCAGATCCACAGAAAACCAGACAGGCTATTCTTGCTTCTCACTTTTAAGCAAGCTCTCAGCTGCTGCAGGAAAGACCTAACTTCATACAGCTCCAAAATAACACAAAAATGGAACCTCTTACTGTCACAGCACCATGAGTCACTAGAGACTCCCAGGTTTACACACTGCCCTTATGGCTCAAGCAAATTACTGTCAACTTGATCCAGCACACAGAGCCCCTGTGGCAGATGCTTATCTCAAAAAATGCAAACACTCCAACACTTCCCTGTGGCTACCAGCCTGCCAAGCTCTTCCTGGCCCTTCTCAGAACACAACCCCTCCCATCCTGGCCCCATGCCCTGCTCCCAGCACTGCCATCCCATACTGGCAACAAACCCAGAAACACACCACAGGGTGAAAATGAACCTTTTCCTTACAGGGAGGAAAAAATAAAATATAACCATTTATTCCCCTTCCTCCACAAAAAGCCACATGCCCAGTGGGTCCCCAAGCCCATGCCCAGAGCAACTCACAAAGATTAGTGCAGCTACATTAATTCATCTGGAAAGGATTTTCATCACCTAGTCTCTTTCCTCGCCTCTTGTGCTGTTTCAAAAATAGCTGTGCCCTGTTTGCTGCCCTGCCTGTGTCAGTCTGATTTTCTGCCTGGCTGGATGTGCACAGACAGGCTGGGAGCTCACTGGACACCCCCACCCTGATCTGCCCATCCCTGCACAGCCAGCCAGACACCAAGCACAGCCGGGCTGGAAAGCTGCTTGTTTTCAGAAGCTTTGAGCTCTGTGAAGTGTGTTTACAGCAGGCCTCAAAAAGGGGCTGCACAACACAGCACAGCCCTTCTGGAGGTCAAAAAACAAGGCAGAAAAGCACAGAACTATGAACATTGATCTGTGTAAAAGCTGCAAGTAAGGGCCTGCCCGGGGATGAAAATACTTTTGAGATATGAGTGCATCAACCAAGGTCATTTGGCTGTGTGCTGTCAGTGCTTCTGCCCATTAAAGACAAACAATCCCTCCCATGGGCCTTGAGAACTGCTCTCCATAACTGCCAGGAAGGGAACAGGTAAAGAGGGGGCAGATGTGCAGAAATTCTGGAACAAGCAACTCTTCCAAATAACCCCTCAGGTAAACTCTTGAAATACGAGAAACTTCTGAAAGAGATTTTTCCTACTAGTACTTTTTTATCACTGCGTTTTCCTGAACAGCTTTTCTTTTTAGAATAAATCAGCTTGCTGGAGCCATTTCACAAATCCCAGATTAATTCCACTCAAGTCTGGCATTCTTCCCAAAGCCAGTAATCTTAGGCTCAGCCTTCAAGACCCAGCTCATCAGCTGTGAGCTGCCTTTCTGAAACATTTCTAAATGAAACTTGCTCAGCATGCCATGACTCAGGAACACTGCTCACCATGAATTAATGATTTCTACAAGGAAAGATGCAGCACAAAGAAATCCTGGTTGCTTATTCTATGCATGTTCCTCTACAGCTATAAACTCTAATATGCATTAGCTATCTTATCATAAAAAATAATTAGTACCTATTGACATTTCTGTATGCAGTGCTTGCCAATTACCTATCTGCTAAGAAACTCTCTGAAATTTAAAAGGAGGAAAAACCCCAAATACCTTTTCCAGCAGTCACCAGAGGATGAAGACACCATTACAAAGAGAAGCCTTCTGGGCATATAACCTCTTGTTACAGGTTTCTGCTTCCAAATGCAGTGCTCCATGTATATTAACAGGGCAGCACAAAGCTCACCATACTGCAACAAATTAGCACCTTAACACACACTGTATGAAAATTAATTGTTATCTGACACCTGAGCACCTCCTCAATTTCAACAGCAATCCAACAAACTGTGCAAAGAACTGGAACAGACTGCCTGGGGAAATAGTGGAGTCCAATCACTCAGGTCTTTAATATCAACATCAAAAATGAATGGCTGAAAGTCAGTTCTGCCTTGGGGCAGAGAAGAGAAAGAGATGACTGCCCAAGGTCCCTTTCTGATCCTGACCTCCTGATCATTTCTTCAATTTCTTTTTCTGAGTCATTCCTCCTTGCATTTGCTTACTTCCAGCAACCCCTCTTAGCTTTCACTCCTACTTAGGATCACACTTAGAAATGAGGTCTTCTTACCCATCCTCCTTGTTCAATGATATAATCTGCAGAATAATCTTCTAGATATGTCACCCCAAAGTTCACAAGGGCACTCAGTGGTTCCTGGCCCCTTCTAGTCAGCTCCATCAGAAATTGTTGTAACAGAACCAGGGGCACCAAGACCTTCAAAAAAAAAAAAAAAGAAAAAAAATACTGTGAACAAATAAATACAGAAAGCATTATCAATACTACTTTCCAACTAGAACAGAATTCATGTGTCCACAGAAAAGATCTGAGTCTTCAAGTCCAAAGGTACCAGGGACTATACACTTCATTTCTGAGAAGACACAAGGCAAACACACAATAAAATGCACTAAAAAGGAAGGACTTAATCTGCTAAGCAAAAACCCACAGTCTAATTGAGCTAGACTAAGAGATTTTCACACTTAGAATTAATATAAGAGAATTCACACCACTGCAGTGTTTTCTTAAGCCCCACTTTTTTCCCAGCACAGGGTTCAGGTAGAGAAGTAGAACTTGCTACCCCAGAAGTGGAAAGACAAAACATCTTAACAGCTTAAAGGGATATGCATCCACATGCAAACAGCAAACTCATACACATTCTTTCTTGAACAGGGACACTGCACTAGACAGTCTCTTTAGAAGTTCACACTTAGCTTTGAGGCAGGACTGGAACAAACACCTCCACCCAGCAGCACAGCATTACAAACATGTTTAAAATGACAAGCACAAAGCCCTTTCCATGTCAAACTCTCCCCCGATACCAAATTTAACACAGAGAGATCTTCCTCCCTTATTTCCTACTCCCATTCCTCTTTAGAAACCTTTAAACTGAATGTTCAGCCTTAACCCAAATTGCTCTGGAAGATGCAAGACTGTGAATCCACCTCCTTCACATTATACAGTTCTAGACACTTCCTTCTGCCATTACGTTTTTGTTTACCTAAACAGCATGCAGTTGAACTTTTAAACTCTAAATTTATTCTCACAGAGCATGCAAGTGGCCCTCTGGGCTTCCTTCATATGCAGCACCTCGCCAAGGTCGGAAACTGGCATGAACTGAAGTCATTAGCATCTGAAAAACCTTTATTATGACACAGGAGAAAAATATTTGTTTTACTGCATTTTAATTGAGGCAACTGCACTGCACATCTATTCACTGTGCAGACTGGAAGGCTGTTTCCCAGCTGCACAAGGGAGATGAAGGCTCTGCTACTGCTCATCCTCACTCCTAATGCCTCCTTCCCTCGCCAGTCCCTTCCCCCATCAGCCTGGTTCTCTTTTCTGTAAATATCCTGCACTGCTATTACCAGAAATCACACCTTAGTGTGCAAAGCTGGGGGAAGATGAATAGGCAAAGTAAGCTGAAATTGAGATTTGTTCTAAATTCATGGTGGCATCACACTGAGATTGACTACTAAAACCAGATAGGGCCTAAAAATGCCCATAATCTGGTAAATTTGATGTTCCAGCTCATTAACAAAGAAGCCCAAGAGTGTGGCAGACAAGTTATGTCACAGACAGAGAAATTATAAAAGAAATTTATAAAAGAATTTAGAATATATTTATTTATTTATTATATTTAGAATATATTATAAAATAATTTAGCAGAGCAGGCCTCATAAGATTAGACTGGCCTGTCACTTCTTCTAAGTGCAGATAAGTACTTTGCAAGTACCCATGCAAAACCAATCTTGGTATGAGTAGTTTGTTAACACAACAACCAATTCTTGAGGAGAAAAACAACCAGCACCTGCATAAACATTAAATCTGTCCCACAAGAATCAGTGAAGAAAATACATAAACAATTCAAGAATAGAGAGATTTGATAGAGAAGTCAAATATCTCTTACTGACCAATGGCAAGAAAGCTGTTAACCAATTAAAGTTGCACAGAAGGCCTCTACAAACTGTATAAAATGAGTTGTGTGAATAAAGAATTGGCTTTTCCTGCATGAAGAACATGGAGTCTCAGCTGACTCCCTACAACAAGGTTAGAGTAGTGTTGTTCTGTGCTGAACAGTTAGCACTGATAACTGTTAACATTCACCAGGGATGTCATGGTGCCAGAAGTTTAAAAGTGTTTGAATTTTAAAAGATTGGGGTTTTGAGGTTCTTACAATTAAACTCAACTCAGAGGCAGAAGAGGTGCAAGATCACAGTGCACAGATAGAAGGAACAGGCCAAGATGAGGTGTCAAGAGGAATCAAAAAAGCTCAAGTTCAAAGCTAGGGATCTTTCAGAGGCTTTGGGCACACCCACATAACTCTACAGCAGCATGAACACTGAGATCTCAAAATATTTGACATTTAATGAGGCAGAAGGCAAAAGAAACAAAAGCAAGGAAGGGCTGCTTGGGAAATGAATGGAGCTAAAATGCTGGCATAGTGAATATGATTGTTGCCTTCTTCCTTTGCCAACTTGATGCCAAATCTACCCATTCACCCCAAATTCAGCAAACCTCTTCAGGGCCCAGAGTGAGGGACCAAACTCAAACTCCAACATCCAGTCCCACACAGAGCAACAAACAGCACCCAGCTCTCCCTTCCTGCTGAAATTCTGACACTCTTGGCCCTGAGACCAGCAGGAACAGGAGAGGCTGGCCCTAAATTCACAAAACAAATCACTTCACAGTACTTCCACAGAAGTTAACACCACCTTTGTGTACAGAAGAGCAGCTGTGTGAACAACGGTGAGATTTAAGTAGAACAAAGTGAAAATACAGAATCTGCAATTCAAAGCAACTGCAGTTCCCTCCACCACGATGCCTGGGAAGGAATGCTAGGGGCTATTTATATTTTGACTGAAGAGAAACAAGAGAAAAGAAGTTGGCAGGAGAAAACTTCTAGGGAATCATTATAAAACCCACTTTGCTATCAGAAGATAGCAGACTGTGTAAATGAAACTCTTGCGTCCACTACACTATTGCAATCCCATTGTACAATATTACAAATTTAAATGTACACAAAAAAGACACAAAGAAAGTTCAGAGGAAGCTGTATTTTTTGAGGAAGCTATATCCGAAATTATTGCAGTTCTCTGTACCTTTTGACCATTTCAACTTAAAATCAATCCAATGATTATTTCTTATATTTTTGTTGCACTATTCTTTGCCCCCATTAATCAGTAAGAATGGGACACTGAGATGACTGCTACCCTACTCACCAGTTCAACTGGCTCTCAATACCAGTATCTGTTATCCTTTCAACTGATGCACAACAGTGGGATTATACATTCTGGATATATGTATTTAATCAGTTTTAAGCAAAAAACATAAAAACTCAGCAGTGCAGTATTTAAAAAATTTTATTAAGTTCATTTTATTATAGAAATTCAATTTGTCTTGTATGGGGTGGTTTGGAATTTGGTTTTTTTTTAAATAAGAGCCTTATTTCAAACAGAAGATGAAGACCCTTGTCCTTTCCAGAATTCAACATGAACATGTTTTCCTAACAGCTTCTTCAGAGTAAAAATTAGGCTGAACTGAGATGGCAGGAAAGGTATCCAGATTTCTTCTGTTACAAAACACAATTCTGATTAAGATGATAAAGGAAATTAAAAGGAAATGAAACCAACACAAATGTTCTGCATGTCCTCAAAACAAAGATTATTGAAGGAACTGCTGGGCATTCCTGGAGCTCCAAACGACCAGAAAAACAATCCAAACAGATGCTGTGCTGGGGTACAAAACTTCCCCTCCGGATTGCTTTTATGGCATTTTCACATGGACTGTGTGTTTTGCAGCAGCAAATGTCAGAGGCAAGCAGAGCTGATGACAGAGATGTTCTGGATGATGCTCTCCATCACAACTGATGGGGACTGAAATCCACTGAAATCCTGAGCCCCAGGGGCTGCAGGAATGCAGCAGCAATGGAGCTGGGTCAGAAAGCCCCAAATGCAGCCCTCTCATGCAGCCAGGAGGATTCATCCATCCTCAGGAGGTGGGGACCCAAAGCACACTGACCTGAGGAGCCCCAGGCACCTCCTCCCTTGCCAGCTGAGCCACAATGCCTGGCTTTATGCTTGGCTGAAAAGTGAGATGTGCTAGCTTAAGCCACCTTCTTGATAATCAGATTTCATGGTTGTTTAAACCAAAATGCTGTGAATCACAAGATGACAAATTGAAAGAGTGCACACATAAAGCAATGATAATTGCTGGAGCCATGGGCAGTAACTTGTCATGCAACGTTTATTAAACTGCTGTTCAAGGGCCCACACCCTTGGTTAGATGAACACTTTCTGAAGTAAGCAAGGAAACCTAAGTCAGGAAAAAGTTTTTCTGGAAAAAAAAAATGTAAAGAGGAGGGAGAAGATTTCTTGTTCTATTTTAAATGTAAGACTACATTTTACCACTCAAATTGTGACTACATTTTCAAGTAGTTATTTCATTCTTTCATTCTTTTTTGATGCCCACTGAACCCATCAAGGAATCATTATGGTGATGAATTCAAATGATTAATGAAAGACGAATCTGGGAAGAATCATCTACTCATTCTACATTATAAGTAATTTAAGATAGCTAATTTACAGATTTGTATTTTGTTTGAAAAAGAAGATTCCCATCATTTGAGATAACTACTCTTGAAACCAGGTAGGAACACCATCCCTACATTTTCTGAACAATTGAAATATCATGAAGATACTGTCAATTTTTATTTTCACCATGTTCAGCACTCTTTTTTACATTTATTTTAAACCTGACATTGGAGCAGAGAAAGAACAGAGAATTGTTATGAAAAAACCATCTCAGATTTCATTCCAAAACTAACCTCTCTTGGGAATTAAAAAAAAAATAAGTCAAGCAACATGCCTAACTTTCCATTTTACCAAACTAAAGGCAGGTTGACCTAACACTTCAACAACTTCTAGCTAAATTATCTATAAAATTACCCACTATGTGCACATCTACCACTCTGAGAGTGCCATTTATTTCACACTAAAACCAAGTTCTTTCTATTTCTGGCCCTCTGGCAAGCACAAGTGCAGCTAGTACGAACAATGTGGCCATCAAGGAGACCCAAGACATATCCAAGGACACATCCAAGTGCAAGTGACAGCTCTGGTACCTTGTTCCACCCACTGGCATGAGCAGATGCCTCGTGCGTGCGCTCCCGATACTCCTGATACGTCACCGGCCTGCAGAAGTGAAACCAACACTGAAAGTTATAAAAGGAAACAAAAGAACATGAATAAAAGAAAGTTCTCCGTTTCTAGAGGACAAAATATTTGCACATGCATTACAGCAAGTCATTTTCAGGAGCTAACAAGTCTTGTGGTTCAGAACATAAAACAGCAGCACCAGACAGGGTCAGGAAGGCATCACCTTTCTCCCACTTACACACTTTGATGTAACTGGTGAATTTCCTAATAATTTGATACTCTACAACTTAAAAGACATTAGATAAGTAGGTTTTCTGATATGCTAGAAAATTTCTAAGCTCTTGCATATATTTTTTTTATAATCTTAAGATTTTAAAGATAGAAAATTCCACTAAGAAATCCATACCTGAGCAAGAGGCCAATGCAGAGAAATATTGTGTAATCAATACAGGCTATGGACTAACACAGACTGACTGCATTATGTCAGAGTTGAAACTTTTATTTGCAAGAAACAGCACTTCTGATCACAAAACCCCTTCATACTTCAGTAGATACCTCTATTCTAGATTTATCACATCTCCACTTCTCTGAATTGGGGTGATGGAATTCCTCCCTTCCATGCTCTTTTCTCCAAGATCATCTGGCATCTCAAAGTCAGTAACAGCAAAGGCTTTCTGCCAAGTGACAGCAGAAGATGCACTGCTTCAAAAGCAGCTGTCAGCCCAGCCCATTACAAAAGGCAAATTCAGGTTTCAGTTTAATGGAAATAGTGGTAACTGGCATTGGAGAGAAAACTGCTTCTTGAACTCCAGGAACCTGTCATGATCCAACAGCTTACTGTACCCTAACACTTGTTTAGATGCATGTCAGAGGGCAGGAAAATAAAAGCCAAATTAAAAAGTATTGCATTAAATAGCACTAGTCCAGCAACAGGGGGAAAAGAACTGAGTTAATGCACAGTGGGGAAAACATAATCTGTGTTTGTCATTTTAAGGGCAGTCTCTTGACTTCCTTGGCACATTAATTCTTTGAAACCAAATCTAAATCAATCAATGGGATGAGCAGAGCAGGAACAGCTGCAGGAAGGATATTATCAAGAGATTAAACAGTAGCTCTAGTTTGCCTTAGAAAAAGGCAACACGGTTTCACAGGCATTTCAGACTTTATGGATGTACATGCATAAATAAAACATTATTTAGAAAGCAAATATTTTCCTATAGAAAACATAGGAAGCCTAGAACATCAGAATATCAACAAACTAGAATCACTTAAATGCATGGCTGCATTTATGCAACTCTTCCTAAAGCAGCACCTTCCAACTCCAGCTCTCTACCAACACATTTTGGAGGTCACTCAGAAAAGCTCAAGTAGTTCATGCAGATCCATTAAACTGCAGGCTGGTCATTTATAACAGCAAACCAAGCAACCACAACAACTGTATTAATTTGCAAAGACATTAATTAAGGTACTAGCACACCAACTGCAATGTTCTGTTTACACAGTAAGCTTAAGCTAGCACGACAGCTGTTAAGGCACCAAGGTTAGCCCAGGGGCCCACATCTGCTTCAGATGTGCACCTGAAGGGTGGTCACAAGGTCTGTAACTCCCATCCTCTCCAGGAAACCCTCCCTCTCATCAAGGGCCAGACCACAATCAAACCCTCAGCTCCACTCTGTAAGGCTAAGGACATTAATGTGGCTACAGCACTGATGAACTGGCAATGGCAGCTCAAACTGCTTGATGCAGCCTCAAAAATTCAGCAACAAAAGCTTAGAAAAATTTTAGAACTTACATTGCTACAAAAAGCAAATACCACAAAGAAGTATTTGCACGTTACATTGCAAAACAACAAAAAACCCAGCCAGATAAAGGAAGATTGAAAAAGAAATGCAATACAAGATGCAGTCCCAACTTCAGCATTCACAGTGCAAAAAGAAACAGCTTTGGAAAAGCAAATGGAAACTCACTTGCTAAGCAAGCTCTGCAGTGCTTTGTGCAGATGTTCCTTCAATTCCTGGGACACCTTCTCCCCCAGATGAGCCAGACAATCTTCTATGGAGCTCTCTGGGTTGGCAGGGCTGAACACTGGGGAAGTGTGGCAGTCAAAGCCCGTAGTGGTAAATGCTGAGAGAAGAAGGTACACAAAATCAAACAGATTCACACAAGAACATCAACAGTCTCAGATTTCTTATCCCAGCACTTTACACAGTTTACATAAGGGACAAAAAAATTCACAGTTCTGTAGTCAAAGTATACAACGATCAAATCATAGTAAAATTGTCCTAATACATTCTGGAAGTGCTACTAACAAGGCAGAGATGACTTTGAGCTACATTTCCCCACCAGCTCTTGTTTCACAATTGCATCCTATCCAGAAGTTTGCTGAATGTGCAGCTATTCTCCCATTTTAAGCTGACCCTGGCATCTTCTCATAGTAAATTGGCCCACACATGGACATCTCTGCAGCAGTACTAGAGCATCCATTTTTTAAATATTATTTTGTTCATAAAACCTTTTCCTTCTCAGTTTAAAACTTCTAAGAAAGTTCCATATGAAAGAACTTAAACAGCTCTAGAGTGTTTCTATTTCAGATTTGTGATTTGCAGCTCACATGCAAAACAAAGATGGGTTTGAAATCATTCCTATAAAAGCCACACCTCCAGGTCAAAGCATACCACAAAAAATAAACCTGGTGGAAGGGAGAAATCTGAAGGTTTCAGTGCACGCTCATTGACATATTAGCTCCTGAGGACTTCTGCCATCAAGTGCAGCAGCTTAAGGGCTGCTTACTTTCCATTATTTATAGTAGACTATTAAATGTCATCCAGTTGTTTGCTTTGGCCAGGCTCCACCACTCCAAATGGTAATGTTTAACTATTTTACTCCATGTGGCAATGTGTACAAATCTTGTGGGGGGAGGAGGATAAAGAGATTCAAGGCATTCAAAAATCTCTTTAACTGGAGTACCTGTTACAAATTAACCACCATTACAGTGCATAGAGATTATGGATTGAAACTGGAAAACCTGAAGAGCACCTTCCAAGATTTCTTCATCAAGACGTTTTAGCTCCTCCTCGATTTCTATTTTAATCTTCTCCAAAGCCTCTTTCTCCAGAGCATGTTGTGCCACAAGCTGTTGTTGAGTCCCTGAAAGAAACCAGAGAAATCATTCAAATGTTTTAATTTCATGTTTCAAACAAGGTAGATAATGGAACATGGTATTGAAATATTAAGTATAAAGGAATTTGAGGTGAAAGTTGGATTTCAGACAGCAACAAGTATGATCCCTCCAGAGGACTTGCTACAAAAGTTTTATTATATTATTAACCCAGAAACAGATTAACATCCAGGCCTATTCAAGGTAGAAATGGTGCTTTAAATAAAAATTGTAAAATAAATAAATAAATAAACAAGAACTGTAAAGCTACAAACAGGATACACAGGAACTTTAAAGGCAACATCTTCAACTTAAGACCAAAAACAAAACAAGGCACATAAATAATCATCCATTACACCTAATACATTTATTATCAAACTACACCAAAACAAAGCAGACTGGCATAAGCTTGATTTTTAGCAGCAAAATATAAAATTTATATTGATGCCTGCAAAATCTACAGCATTCTCAGAGCAACTATGCAATGACATCAATGGAGAATCCTGAAACCTGTGAACTGTGCATCATTTCCCTGGCCATGAGGAGTCCACAGGCCACAATTTAACACTGGGTTCACAAGCAAGACTGGAGGCAAAGGACCTCACAATGTTCAGTCAGTTGCCAACTCTCTCTTAACCAAGAAATTTAAGAATTTGAAATGGCTACATTTCCCCAGAACTCACATGCCATGGTTTGGGATCACATTTTCCATGTGCTGACTCCAGATATTGGTAACAGAAGTTGTTTCAGCCATATCAGTCAGGGTTACACAGACTCTCAGTCATCTTAGTCATTATTCTGTACCAAGAGACACAAAACTGTTTCCAAACAAACCCAGGTACTCAGGACATCTGAATTTCTCACCCTTTCTGCACCTGCACCCAGGGCTACAGCTCTACCCAGACATCCAGACAATGTTCTGCTCTACAGACACTCTTCACCCAGCTGAAGAAAACAAAAAGGGGAAAGGATTTGTATCTGTAATGTTGGTGTCATCTGACTCAATTTCCTCCTCATCCATATTCATACCCAGATCTTCAGGTAAGTCCTGTAACAGCCAGGGGAGCTTTCTGGCACATCTTTTTTCATTCCTGTTTTGAAGGCACTAAATCATAATTTGGCTCTCATGAATGAGAGCTTTGTGGCCTGTTTCCTTGGGTTTGGTTCTCTGCTGGAGCTCACTTTAAGTGTTGTCTTGCCTTCCCTTTTCTTCCACAATGGACACATATAATCACTAAATTTCATAAAAGGGTGTGTGAAAACTGTAAAAGCACTCAACACACACAGATGTGTGGTTAACTACACACTAGTGAAGTACACTGTGCATTTTCTGTAATTAAAAAACCAACAGACAATAAGCTTTTATGGTCTCCTACAATTGAAAAAGATGTTAAAAATCCACAGTATCAACCCACTGAACATGTGTTAATGCTTAAAAACCCAGCACCAGGATCCCTCTAAACCAATGTATGCTTAAGTCAGTATAAAATGTTTTCATGTATTTCTGTGACCAGTCACTGTAATTCCACTTGACTTAACCACACATGTTCAGAATAACTTTACTTAGCTTCTTAAATCCCTTCCCAAGTAGCATCTCTGCCAGTCTGAGTAATAAATTCCAGAGAGGAGCACAGTGTTCCTCCTTCTGGTTAATGCCCTGTCAGTCCCTCTCAGTTGCTTTTTTGCAGACCTGAACCACTGCTCTGGAACCAAGTGCAACAAGTGTGAGCAAGTTCACCCCTTGTGTGAACCTGTGCTTTCCCTGGGTCTGCAAGGCCATAGGAGCAGCCATTCTCACAGGAATAATGTGACAATGATCACCCCTGACAAGCTGTCATACCTGATAAGAAGTCACCCAGAAAATGGAAGGAAGGGAAATTCCACTGCTGCCAGAGTACAAAGAGCTGTTTAGATAATCAGCACTGCACTCAATGGTTTCCATCTCCCAACACCCACAACTCTGCAGCAGCTGCTGATTCTGAGAGCACCTGACTATTCAGCCATGCCAGAACATCCAAACCCCACCCCTCCCACAGCAGTGACTTTGCACTCTTTATTCCCCTGATAAAGAATGGATTCCAGCTTTCTGCATCTCCTGGATATTGACTGCTACCAGCAAACACTGCACACTGCAAAGGTCCTAAGTGAGGGGTACCTTTTTCTCCATTATCCAACTTCCAAGCCACAAACAGGCAGAAGAAAATAGTAAAACCAGCCTATTTTAGGTGAGAATATATTTTCATTATCAAAGATGCAAATGGTCATACCAGAAATGTGTCTGTAAGAGACAGAATAAGCACTGAATGCTTTCCTGTGCTTAAGAAATTAGTTTGCATCTTCTGGGCTTTTCGCAAACCATCTCTGCAAGGCTCTTCTCAAAACCAGCCTATTTTAGGTGAGAATTTATTTTCATTATCAAAGATGCAAACACCAGAAATGGTGTTTGTAAGAGCATTGAATGCTTTCCTGTGCTCAAGAAATGGGTTTGCATCTTCTGGGCTTTTGGCAAACCAACTCTGCAAGGCTCTTCCCAAGCCAGAGGCACAACAAATCTCTGTTACAAGTTCTTACACAACCAAGTTAGTGCATTCCACTTTCTATTTATGGAATAAATGTTCACTTTGGCACAATTATGTTCCTGTTGAGATTTTGGGTTTCAGGTATCTGGAAGTAACTTAAAAAGCAGAGGAAAATGTGTTGTGAAAGTCCATCAAGCAGTGCATCAGGGTGCATCTGACTACTAAATAAATGTGATACTTCAGTAAAACTCCAGGAGCTCAGTAACAATAAAGAGTAACCTGTTTGCCAGGGTTGATCTCAGGAGCAGGAGGGATGGAAGTCATTCTTCAGAGCTACAGAGTCTGCACATCTCACCCTACAGTGCTTGAGCCAAAATTTCAGCTAACAAGGGACAACAGGGACTATAAGGAGAGACTGAAAAGATGTTTTGCCTTTGTAGTTCAAGGGAATGAAGGATGATTGGAAAAGAAAGCCACTGATGTCACAGATTGCTCCTGATTTTTTTTCTTTCATGCTTGTAATTTTAATTTAACAATATCTTCATTTTTGAGTTCTCCTAGGTCTCTATATTAACTTCTGTCCAGTTGACTTAAAAATTTACTTTCAGCATGACTGTAATATTTCTTTAACATCTCACACTTTTAAAAACATTAAGTAACACTCTAAAATTACTGTAAGTTCTGAGAAGTGACAAAGATATACAAAATCTCTTTACAAATGTAAAAGAGATTTACATTTTATTTATCTGTTTCCTTTAATAAAATACATCCATTACACCAGCAAACTCCAGACCATGGACTGCCATACAGGGATGTAGCCCTTGATTTAAGAAATGTTTAAAAGAAGCCCTTTATAAACCATAAGAGTGCTCAGCTTAAAAGAAACTGAAAGAGTCTAAAGTATTAAAAAGATACAAGATACCGCCAATTAACAATTTTCTTCACAATGTTTGTCATAGCCACAAGCTCATGGGATGGTGTAAAGCAATGGGGAAGTAGATTAAAATAGAGAAATACATCAAAAGTCACTCCTTGATAAAATATAAACAAACATTCGTAATATAAACACATTGAATCACAAAACCAAAGTACTTTGACTCACTTGAAAAGTTAGTAATACTAATAACTGCAGCAGAGTGGAAGCTTCTGTAATGAGAGTGACTTCAGGGTGAAAAGTGTAGAGATGTTTTCCAGTACTTAATAATTATTTTCTCTGTCTGAACCAGTACTTATAGGTATGAAAAGAATTCTGAAAAAAATACAAAGCATCTCTGCACGATCTAATGAACAGACAACTGAGAGCTTCCACATATTTTAAATATAGGTACTGAGAGCTTCCACACATTTTAAATATAGGTACTCACTGTTGCCTCAAACCACACTGACTTACCCAGGTGATGCTACTCTGAGTGTTTTATCAATTTATCTGATTTGTTCACCTAGCAAAAATTACAGAATATACTGCTAATGGATTTTGCTTTAAATAAATTGCAGTGACTGCTATGCAGAATCATTATTCTGGAAAAACTAATGGGAAAAATCTCTCAAAGCACTGGCCAGTTAAATTTGCTGGATTTACCTCTGGAGACACTGAAATCCATTACAGAACCCTATAGAGCTATAATGTTTAAAGATTGGCTTGCCCAGTACAACTGTCTTTTCTTCAAGAGCCTGGAATACTGTGGACGGCTCTCTCTTCAGTCCCTGTGCTGAAAAGAAGATAGCAAAATCAAAATTTCCAAGTCCTCATCAGGTGCTGATTTATATCAACGTTATTTGCTTGGAGCCAGAAGTGATTTTAGTGGTTGTAATTAAAGCCATCCTTCTTGAACAAAATCAACCAAGAGACCCAAAAGGAAACACAGCAATGTAATTTTCCATGTAATTTCTCTGAATTTTCTATTCACTGAAAAAAACCCTCCAAAAATCATCAGTCTTGCAAAGCACAATAGACCTACAAACAATGAGAAGTTTTAACTGGAAATCTATCAACCAATGTTAAAGTTTTATTCTTGTCTCAGTTTTTGAAACAGAAAAAAAAACTAGTACAAAATGGAGGAAAACAGAGGCAGAAGATGGTGACAGAGGCAGTTCTGGCAGAGATAATAATACAGTGCCACTCCTGTTGGGAAGGATCACTTTTGGTTGGGTGATCCCCACCAAATACACCTTTAGTTTATATCCCACCAGATATCCCACCAGATACACCTTTAGTTTAACTGGAGCGTTGAAACTTCACCAAAATTTGGGACACTGAGGTAGAAGGAGACTCAAGGGAAATACAGAAATCCTACCACCACCTAGGGCACCTGTTTTCCTCATCTCCCATGTCTGGTACACTTGCAGTGGAAAGGCAGAAGATGCTCCAGTGGTGACAAAGGGTGGCTGGAACTGGGATCCTGCACTGAACTGCCCTCTAGAGGAGTCCCTCACTCTCCCTCTCAGGCACTCAGGGAGCTCAGCTCCACCAGGGCAAGCTGAAACTTGTCTTCATGGATACTCCCATTACACTGAATATGATTCACAAAACTTAATAGGAGTACAGTCTTATTTGGATCTGAGAAAAATAAATGAAGAGAAGGTGCTGCAAACCTTAGTCAAGGCCTCATATGAATGGAACACAAAATACAGGAGTTTGTTCTGCAAGTGGAAAGGAAACAGGCAATAGGTAAAATTGCTGCTTCATTGCTTCCCATGGAAGGTCTGTCAGCACAACATCCAAATCAAAGCAAAGCAAGATTACAGACAGGTGTTTTTTATTGGAATCCTCTCAATTCACAAATCAATGGTGTTCAGCCATAGAGTACAAAGACTCCTGACCAGCATTTTGAAGTGCCACAGAAATCTACAAAGGAAGGAATTTGGGATCACTCAAAGTGTTGAATTAACAACTGGTGACAGTGCTTGCAAAATGCACTGACAGGCAGGAATGCTGTGCTCCTGTTACCCCTTCTGTGTCTGCCACCAAACCCAGAAGTCTCCTCCTCAGGATGGGATTCCAGAAAACAACAGTTCATTTCCATTTCCCAGCTTTCCCATCTCTCATTCTCACCAGGTTTCTCAGCCCACACTGGGGACTGTAACACCCAGCTACAGCTCCCAGCAGTGCATTAGGCAGGGCAGGAAATATCCATTATGGGCTGTGCTCCCCTCCTGGAGACTGCAGATTACAGCCAGCAGGTGCCAACCAACCAGGAGATACTCACTGGGTATATCAACTGCTCAACAGGCAGGGGGATGCACACAGCACTCTGAAATAACCACACACAGCCCAGCAGTGCACCTCAAACACTGCTTCATTACAAGCAAGGTGAGCAAATGGAGGAGAAGGGATTTTTTAAATGTAGCAAGCAGACAAAAGAAACCTCTCAGAAGCATGGAAGGCAGAAAAGCACCACCAGGAAAAGCGAGTTAGGAAAGAATGAAACAAATCCTGATAAAGCATTTGCTTAGTTCAATACAGCCTGAAGTCCATGCAAAGGATTACAAAACAGAGTGAGAAACAAATTGGCAAATTAAAAGTAAGGCAAAATTATTTAATCCTAAGGCTTTGATCAGAAAGCAGCAAAACCACTGAAAGACAGACCTAATTAAAGTGAAAGATAAGCAGGAGAGGAGACCTTGTGGTCACTGTCTGGTTTGGGAAATGAGGTGGGGAAAATGCAGATTTCCTCTTCAGAAGTTGTAAAGTATGAATGCTTTAGAGTATTTTAGTAGCAAATCAAACCACAGGCTGCTGTGACACAAGCTAACACATATAAACAATATCTGAGAAGTAAAATCTTAAGTCACTACAAAATTTTCATTTAAGAATTTGTAGCTTCCTCTTTAGAAAGTTTAAATATACTTCTGTAATTCAGATTAGAAGCTTAGAGGTAATGAGAATCAACTGATTCTGAAAATGAAAGGTTTCACCTCAATTTGCAAATGCTTCAAGGGTAACTACAGCTAAATAATTTTTAAAAAGCTTTAGGACTAGCATTTCTCTTTCTGAATCTATTTCTAGAACAAAGCAGACTCTTACACATTGAACCTTTATATGTACTCAATACATTTCCAGTTACAGCCCAGTTATAAATGGGTAGGATGTTCAGAATGAGATGTCATTGCTAAAATAAGCACATTTTTCAACAAAGGGTTTTATGAAACAGCTAAGGTGCCTCTACTTTCATGGACCACAGAGGCAGGCAAAGTGGAAGCAGCAAACATACCTTAAATACACAAAGGTATTTATGAATTACAGTTTATTAATTACATTAATAATGAATTAATTAAATAAATAAATTAATAAATAAATAAATTAAATAAATAAATAAATTAATTAATTTAATGAATGATATATAATATAACCAGCCTGTGCTATATGATTAAGTACCAAACAGAAGAGCACTTCTGTGATAACCTTGTTGCAGTCTTTCTTTTCAGGAATTTCTCACTTGATGACAGGTAAGTTCAGTAAATGACAGCATATGCATTATTAAATGATTGTTCAAAGAAAACAAAGATTCTGAAGACTGTCTCTGTTTGGTCTGGGCTTTTTTAAAGTCTCCTTTCATCAGCATAAGCTCTGAATCACAGAACTAATAGTGACTAAAACATCATTAAGAAGTGACAAGTCACCCAGGCAATCATGACAAACAACATTGCTTAAGTGCTTGCCACCACAAAATAAAGAACAGTTTTACCTCTTAGCTTTATGTGAAACACAATCTACCAAACTTCTTTTCTTCTGCCTTCTATTTATTTATTTACTCTCTTTTATCCATAAACATGTCCTGGAAGAAATATCTGCAGTCCTTGACTTTGCATAAATAAATAAAAAAATAAACACGAGTAGCATTGGCCACATCTCCGTACCAGCACTGAGTGACAACAACAGCAGCCTCAGTGTAATAGGGCAAAACTATTTAGCACAGGGGATTGCTCAAGACACCACTCAGTTTATGCCAGTAAACATCACCTCACCCCTGCTTACTTCCACTTGTGTCCCAAAAAAACAGCAAGCACGGGCTGAAATTCTCATGCTGGCTCAACAAATGTAATATACATCAACCCAAGGTGATATACATCCTAGCCTCTAGGCACAACTGAACCACTTATTTGCTTCTTAAACACCAACCAGCCCTGGCATAGCTCAAATTAAAACATTCATCTACACACAAACAGCGTTATTTCCATTAGCATCTCACATCTTTGAACTGGAATTTATTCATTTTTCACTGAACAAACCAAGAGATTCACTACCCCGAACATCAGGCTCACGCTCTGCACCCCTGCAGAAACACCCCAAGAGCTAATTGCAAACCCAGCTGCACATGGAAATGGCTAGAGATGAACATGCAAATATTACCTTGAGTAGGAGGAGGAGGAGGAGGAGGATGCTCCTGTGGCTTCTCCTGTGCTAGAAGGCCCAGGTAGCTGAGCACTACGTATTTGGTTTCATAGTGAAATCCTACAGGCACGGCAGCAGCAGACGCCATCGGGGTGGCTGCGCCGCGCTCGGGGGAGCCAGGAGGGCTGTCAGGGAACAGAAAAGGGGTTTGGTCGGGTTAGAAGGCTGCAACAGGTCATGAACCCACACGTAACAAGGAATTATGTAACAATCCTGAAGCAATATCCAGGTTTTTGCATTCTTATTTTAATAAGAACCATGCGGAGCAAGCCCAGCTGTGCCTCAGTGCAGCTCCTGCCTGCTGCCAGCAGTGGCATTTCCCACTCCTGCTTGCCATGGTCACACAACCATGCAAGCAAAAGGAGCAGCGCCTCAGCACAAGGCTTTTGTGAAGCTGGTGTGGCTGCAGAGATTTATTTGGGCTACCCATTGCCCTAAAACAGAATTATCAAAAATTGTTGACCTGCCATGGCCACACTACCATGCAAGCAAAATGAGCAGTCCCTCAACACAAGGTTTTTGTGAAGTTGGTGTGGCTGCAGAGATTTATTTTTTGGGCTATCCATTGCCCCAAAACAGAATTATCAAAATTGTTCCTTGTAAAAAATGTGTATATGATATAGAAGAATTTTCATTATGATAGTAAAGGTGCTTCTATTTTCTGATTTTTTTTTCTTTTAAATAATCTGGACTATTGAGTCTATTATATCATTCACATGAAAAAGTTGCATTTAGAATTAGAATTATCCTGAGTCTATAATTTCCTTGGGTCCTGGACTAATAAAAAACTGCACTTTTTGCCCCCACAGATGTGTACAGAAGGTTGACCTTCAATTCTACAAGCATCTTAGAAGTCCAAGTCACAAACTTGAAAAGGACAGAAGTTGTCAGAGACCAGGCAAGTGTTTTTCTGTTAGTTGAAATTGTGTTTTAATTGGTTATATGTGCAGGACTGTTAAATTTAAGAGGAGCCATCCTCTAATCTCTGCAGAGTCCAGCTGTTCATTTCCTTGACTAAAATGCTCTCCCATTGTTTGGTGGTTCCATTTAAACACATTGGTCAGAGGTGTACTGATCCTTTTTCAATGACAGTAGGTTTCACAGTTAATTTTTCCCAATATTTGTGGCATCTAATTCATTTTGATCAAGTTCTATATTAGATTTTGAGTTTGCACCTGGAGCTGAAAGTGTAGCCCAAAAACAAGATGAAGCAAGCCTCAGTAGGGTGGAAGGAAATTGTCAACTGGGTGGGTCAGTTTTCCACAGCTTTCTTAATTCTTTGCTGTTACAAGAACAGAACAGCTGGAGTACACCCCACAGAAAATAAATCCCATGCTTGGAAGTGGAAGTCAGGGCTCAGAGCCTATGGATTTTTATGGAAGTTAGAAAGAGACCATTAGTCTCATGTTTTGACAGATTCTGAACATTTCCTTAACCACCACACATGATAAAAAGGCAAGTTCTGAGGAGTCTCCCAAAGCCTCCCATCAATATTTTCTCTGCTTTCTCAGATTGGCTACTGTGATGCCCAAAAACTGTAAGAGAAAAAGTGACCAAAATTGCCTCAAATTAATTTTAGTGTTCCAACAGCAATGGAAAACATATGGCCAACAGAGAGAATTCCACATTCATTGTAGGGATTGGAAGAACAGATGGTTGTTTGTCCTGGATTTCTCATCCCGACATTATAAACCAGAATCCACACCTAACAGCAACATCTGGCCAAAGAACTCCTCCCTGTTTCACTTTAATTGTTTTGTTGCCTTTTTCAAATATCCAAATAAGACCTGCAGAAAAAACTAAGGTAGAGAGAAATTAACACCAACATAGTAAAAAGTAAAATCTCAAACAACAATATGGAAGTGGAGAAAAAGCCATGCAAGAGATTAAAAGGATGTTTGAGATTAATCAAAATGTTTTAGCTGGTTTTGTTTGGTGAAGTCTGGATAACTACCAACATGCTGTCAACTTAATGGATCAAATAATCCTGTCAAGGGGTTTCTGACAAACTCTTCAAGTTGAGTTCTCCAGAACTTCAAAGAGTCATTCCCAAACACGCAGTGGCCCATTCTTGGCACCAGAATGGATGTGTAAATGAAAAGCACACAAGAAGATTGTGCTACAGAACAGCTACTGAACAGGCACTGAAAGAGCCAGATAATTTAGTAATGTGAGACACAGTTACATTTAGAAGAAGATTTTTTTATCAAGTTTAAAGTTTAAAGCAGTCAGAATGAGCAAAATGCTAAATACAAGGAAAAGAAATTGGACCCACTCAAGAGAGTTATGGATTGCAATGGAAATGCCTTGGGACTAAAAGAAAGAATCAGATTCCAAAACCAAAGAACAATCTGCAAATGAAGCCTCAAGTTCAATAATAATAATAATAATAATAATAATAATAATAATAATAATAATAATAATAATAATAATAAACCAAGAAAGCAAAAGAAAAGCACTTGCCTGTCTACCTGTTCAAGATGCCTGGCCTAACTTCTAATCCCTCCTCCCTGAGAAGGAATTCAGATTAACAGCAGTTGCACACTGGTTACTGAGGACAAACAGAACTAGAACTGTGCTGTGGCATGGCTGCAGTGGGAGTAGGTAGCTTGGCAAAGAAAAATTTACCACCAAACTAAAAGCTGTAAAAGGAAAAAAGTGCTGTAAAATTGGCTGGCTATTCTCTTTAGAAACTCTAGCTTCTGAAACTCATTCAGTACTGAAAACAAAAATGGGCTCTCTGTTGAAGACCATACTATGGCAGCCCTACCTCTTGCTCCATGTATTTAAAAATGCCTGAAAGCCTTTATAAGAAATGTTGGGTTGTGTCTTTGCTGCAGCTTGAACCAAAGCAGCAAATTATATACAAAGGAAACAATGAACTTGGAGTCAACACTTCATCTGTGCTGCCTCTTCCATCCCAAAGTGCTCCACAGGCAGCACATCCTGCTTCAGACACCTAAGGAATCACAGCACAGAAGAACCACAGCTTTGAGCCTCTTCCAAAATTGAGATTTTTATAGAGCAAGAAGATCTGAAAAAAAACCCAAACTGCTCTGAAGACTTAAGGATCCTTTAACAATAGATCTGCTCTTCAGATCTGCAGTCACCACACATCACATGCTGACATCACCAGGTGGGAAAGGTGCCATTCCCCAAAAAGCAAAAGCTCCCCAGCCTGTTTCAGTTCTGGTTTGTTCAGTAGAGATCCACAGCCCTGAAATCCAAATGCTTCTCACAAAGCCTACACAGTGAATGGGAGCCCTTCCAGACAACCTGAACTGATCTCTCCTGAAAAAAATCAGCCTGACAGATGGTCCAGAGACATCCAGAAACTGTGCTGTGGACCAAAGAACAAGTCTGAATGTATAATAGAGATTATTCTTCAAAATATAATTCCAAATCAATGCAGAAAATGAAATAAAAAAAATTGATGAAAACAAGCATGATATGCAAAACAGCACAGTGCAACAGGGAGGCCTAATTCATGAAAATCACAGCTCAGCACTTCTCAGGGGAGGAGGGGAAAAAAAACAGAGAGAGACAGAATGAGACCACTGCTTATTTAAATAGTGGCTAATGTTTCCCTGGGGAAAGAATGATAAAAAAAAAATTACCTCAGTGGATACATTTTGAGAGGCAGTTTTATAATGAAATGAGAAAGGAGACTTAAGAACTTGAATGGAAGAAATCTTCAAATTCACATAAAAGAATGCCATGAGTGGAAGTGCATTCAGAATCACCAATTTTCCTTTGAGAGAAGCCCACAGCACAGAAACTGGATGACTCCTTTAGGATTGAGAATGACTGGTTTTGTTTACAAAGACAAACACAGAAATATTGACTCAGATCCTGTAAATATCTCAGAAAAGGCCATTTTTCAGGAATGAGGGGGACTGAAAAAGGACACACAGCTTGAGAGACCAGATCAAAGAGAGCTCTCCACTAAAGGAACAAAATTGAAGAGAGTCCAGAAAGTGTTTAAATGACGAGCTTGTACAGGAGATGCGATAGAGCAGAGGAAATAAGGAGTTACACAGACTCCCCAAGTCTCAGAGCCAGGGCAAGAGGGCTGCTTCAGGTTTAACAAGATCTCTGCAGGAATACTGTCCTTAAAGAACTACAGAGATCAACATTATTACCAATTACTCCCTACAAAAAAAAAAAATCACCTTTCCCAGTTCTTGCACCCTTGGGGGACAGAAGGCTCTACCTGTTGAAGCTGACTTAGCCTGTCACTCCTCCGGCCCTGCTGTCACTTGTTTCATGTGGGCTGAGCTGCTCAAGCGACCTGAGAGCAGGAGTTGCAGCAGGGCTGACATTTCCCCATCTGTCACGTCCTAATCCACAGCAGAGTTATAAACTGGATAATGGGCAGCACCAGCCTACCAATGAATACAGGGAATATAATCCCCAGCCACGAGGCCGGGCCGTGTTTCAGTCCCTGTCTGTAAAACCCCACTGTGCATCAAGATGGGATTGCTTGCATCATCCAAACCCCAAAATGCAACATCACTGCTCGGCTGCCCAGAGCAGTTCAGCTGGTTCTTACAAACAATGTCACCTACGGATTTCAGAAACAGCAGCACCACAGCCCTCAGCTCCCACGCCACAATGGAATCACTCCAGAGCTGGATGCATTCCCCACCTAGAGCCTCACTCACCAGCCACAAACCCAGTCACCCTGTGAGCTGCTGTGGCAGAATTCCTCCTGCTGAACTACTGCCACAGCCCCGGCCAGCAAGAGCTCAGCCAAGCAGCAGGATGGCAGCACTGCAGCTCAAATCATCTTTAGGGCCTCCTGACCTCGATATGCTCACGGTTTGGGTCGTCTTCCTGCCATCAATCTCGGCAACAGGCAGCCACGCTCAGCTCAGCTGCATCTACAGCCTCGGTGTCCTTTACAAATGTGCCCAATTTCAAGGAGTTGCAGATCTACAGAGCCACACCCCGTATCAACAAGATGGAAAATATTCAGGCACTCTGCAGACTTACCAGATGTGGGGATTTTGGGTGAGACTTGCATGTGTGGGCTAGTTAAACCTTGCAGCAGTTTGTCTCTGAAAACACTTCCCATAACAGGCAGGACTATCCAAAGCATCCAGTTGTGATCAGCTTGGGAGATAAATTCTCCGGAGTAGTTTTCCAACTGGGTATGAGGGTATGACTAAGAGATTGTTTATAATAAACTGAGAGCTACTCAGTTCAAACATGTCAGTTCCTACTGGAAATGAATCAATACTGCAGCCACTACTGATCCTCTGGTGGCACTTAATGGATAGAAATACTGGAAAACACAATTGTTCTTTGTCTGGATAGTGGCTGTAGCTGACCTCTGACAGAAATGCAATTAGGTGAGCACTCTAGGCAAACGGGGTGATGTCCCTTCTAGGAAGAAAAGCAAAAGCTATATGCGTTATCCACAACAAAGGTCCCCAGTCCTTTGCAGCTTCAAACCATCTCACCACAGCATTAAATTATGACAAGCACAGCTTTCATTAACGAGCTCCATTCCCATTCACTTTCTGCCTTAACGCGCCTGTTTGGGTTTGAGGAGCCGAAAAAAGCCCTTCCAAGTTTCAGCGGCGCCGGAGCCACCGGCGGGAGCGCAGCGTGAGCCCCTCAGTTACTACGGCGATGAATGAGA